CTGGGCTGGGCTGGGTTGGCCTGGGCTGGGCGGCGGGCAAAGCGTGGCCGAGGCAGGCTGGGCCCACCCTGGGAGCCGTGGGAGCCCCTATGCCCTGGCACCCAATGCCAGCATGTGCTGGAGGTCTCCAAGCACCGTGCCTGGGGAGAGCTTGGTGATGCCAGGCCTGGGCCAGCCCAGCGCAGGACGGGACCCAGCACCCCCTGCCCCTGACCTGTGCGCGGCGGTGGTGCCCGGGCTGGGGCCGGTGATGTGGAGCTCCCCTCCGGCGGGATGGCACGGGTGCTCGCCTGGACACTTGTGAGCCCCGGCATGGAAAGAGGAACAGGAAACCCTGCGCTGACCATACAGCCATTGCGAGACTTCCTCTGCTTCCTGCCCCCGCCTGCAGTGCTCAGCAGCCCCGGCTCGGCCGCTCCCCGCAGGCACCCCCGTGCCCTGAGCCCAGCCCAGCCCCGGGCTGAGGAGGTGATGGTCAAGGGCTGCCTTGAGCCCAGGGGCCATTGAGGTGGCACAGTCACAGGGAGGCCGTGCCCAGAGCCAGAGCCAGAGCCGGGCAGGTGGGCACCGGGGTGCCCAGCGACTGGCGTGGGCCCCTCTGACCCCAGCACGGGCACGGGCACGGGCATGGGCATGGGCACGGGCACGGGCTGGCCCAGCCGCCAAGCAGAGCTGCAGGAATGTCGTGGCTGCCTTTGCCCGGGGACCGTGGTGGTGCCCGGTGGCAACGTGCGACCAGGACTGTGATGCCCCAGTGGCTCCTGTCCAGAGTCTGGATCCTTCTGCCAGTGCTGCTCCCTCGGGAGAAGCCCCTGGACCCTGGACTCGCTGCCCCTGGGCCTCCCTGCTGCCATGCGCGTGCCGGGGCCAGGCCCCTGCCAGGCTCCTTGTACTCGGCAGTGCCGCAGGCTTTGTCCTGGCACCAGCAGCTCCAGCCCTGGCACCTGCCCCCACGCGCCCCACAGCCCACCGGGCACTGGGGTCTGCTCAACCCTGCTGCCTCTGTGGCCCGGGCCCTCCATCGTTAGCCATGGGGTGCAGGGGTCTGCATGGGAACAGCAGCTTCCCTTGCACACCGCAGCCTCCCCCCACCACTCCACCCAGCGCTGTTTCATTTTCCTTCTGATTCCTCCAGCGTGTTTTGCAATCACGGGGCCATGGGGGAGGGGGTAGAAGGGCCCCAGCCCGGTGCCAGCAGCACCCCCGGCTGCCCTGCGCCGCCCGCCTGCAGCCCCGCCAGCCTGGGGGTCCTGCCTGCCCCCAACAAGCACGCAGCTTCTTCCTGAACGCGCAGGCTGCAGTGCTGGGCGCTGTCCCTCGCCTGGCCCCGGCGGGCGAGCTGGTCTCCCCCCACGCTGCCGCACTGGCTCTGGGTGCCCTACGCCCCGCGTACAGGCACTGCCCCCCACGTGCCTGCCCCCTGGACCTTGCATGGCCCCACAGGCAGCCCCTCCAGCAGGCTTGGGGGCGAGGGGGCACATCCCAGCCTGCCCCCCAGAGCCTGCCCCGGCTGACGCAGAGCCCAGCGTCAGGCCCTGCCCGGTGGGGACCCACGGGTCTCGGTGGACCGAGCAACCCAGTGCCCGGGGCTGTGGAGGCCGCAACAGGCTCTCGCTGCTGGGCAAGGCAGGGCTCCCTCCTGCCGGACGTGCTGCACCCACGAGGCTTCCCTGCTGGCGGCTCCTTCCCCCACAGCTGTGCCTGCCGAGCTTGGGCGAGCTGCTTCGTCCCCGGCTGCTGGAGCCTGTGGCTGGAGGCTTCACCGGACACAAGAACCGGGCACAAGAGAGCCCAGGAGACAGGGACGGGCCTGCCAGCTCAGGGGACTTGGGGCCGTGGCTCCACACAGACCACGGTGCGGGCGAGCGGCCCCAGCCCCCACTCCTCCGGTCACCCTGGAGCCGGGGACGGTGGAAGAAGAGGTGCTGGCATGAGCTACGGCTCAGCCCTGCTCGGACGGTCGAGCCGCGAGCCCTGCAGCAGCGCGCGAGCAGGAGTTGCTCCGTGGAGCGGCACGTGCAGCGCCATGCACGCAGCATGCGGCCGCCGTGCTCAGGGATGCTGCAGCGACCATGCAGCCCTGCCTGCAAGCGGCTCCAGGGAGTCCCAGCCCCGAGGGGAGCCCTGCCCACCCCCGGAGAAGCGATGGGGACCGATGCAGCTGTGGGCGCACGCACGGGCAGACGCCCAAAGCCTGCTCATAACCCAGGGCACGACTGCCTCGGCCCAGGAGCTGGGGGCCACGGCTGAGCCGGGCCGAGCCGAGCCGAGCTGCAGCAGCGGGGCCAGGGGCAGGGCTGTGGTGGCAGCAGGAGCCAGGCACAGCCGCAGGCTCTGGCCACGGGGCCCTGCACCCATCGCAGCTTCCTGAATTAGTTCCCAGGTCCTGCGGTTTCCTCAGCAGCAGCTGCAGGTTCCCACTGGGCCGGACGGCTGGGGGCAGAGCTGGCAGCGCACCCACCTCACCTGCCCCTGCCCGGTTCCCCGGGGGCAAGGGCTCGGCCCAGGCTCCCGGCCCCGAGGCTGTGACGCCAGGTCAGGCCAGGAGTGCCGGCAGGGACCCAGCGCCCCCGGGAGCAGGGCACCGTGGGGGCAGGGTGCTGGCAGCGGTGCTGGGCTGTGGCACCGGGTGGGCTGGACGCAGGGAGGGAGCAGGGCTCCAGCGTCGTGGCAGAGGCGGCCCAGTGTCCGTGCGAGCCCTCCAGGCTGCGGGCAGGACTCCACGCACCCCTCGAGGGGCAGCTGCGGCACCCCAGACTCTGCCCTGGGGAGGCGCTGCTCTCCCAGCCGGTGCCGCAGGCAGGTCTGGGTGGCTCTGCACTGGACCCGATCCTGCAGCCAGGAGCTCGGCCCAGTGCCTCTCACCCCCGGGACACCCAGACCTGGGCCTGGTCGGGCCACTGCCGCCTGCAGCAAGAGTGCAGGGAGGGAGCAGCCCCCCCCGGGGGGGAGCGTCTTGATGGGGGCCCTGGGAACGTGCCGGGCTCCGCTGGACCAGGCAGTGCGCCCAGGGAGCCACACCAGGCCAGGGGGCGGGTGGTGCTGGGGACAAGGGGCCAGCACTAGCGTGGACTGGGCAGCTGGAGCAGGCAGGTCGAAGGCCCTGGGCCGGCCTGTGCGGCTGTGCACAGGGAGGGGGCGGGTGCAGGGTCCGGGGGCACAGAGCAAGGGGGGCAGGCAGGTGGTTTGCATAGTTCTGAACATTTAATCTCTCCCTCTAGCGTTATATCCACATCCATTAAATTAAAGACGGGCGCAGGAACCGTTCCTGCCTGATTAAATTACAAGAAGAAATTACTGTGCACCAAAAAGTTATCATAGAAAAACAGTCCTGGGGCCCGGCCAGGCCCCCCACCCCACACCGCATGGCACCGCACGCAGCCTCGGGCCCGGCCTGCTGCTGCAGGGGAGTGGGGGCGCCCCCGCCCCATGTCCCAGGGGATGGATGAATGGATTGTGAGCGCAGAGCCAGTGCCCGGGGCGGGGGGCAGGGGCTCCAGGTGAGGAGCAACATGGATTGTCACCAAAGTGGGGCAAGGCACGTCAGGAGGGGCAGGGACTCCAGGGACCAGGGCCTTTGCCAAGGGAGCTGGGGGCGGGTGCCGGGTCCAGCAGCTCCTAGGGCCAGAGGAGAGCTGGGGTCCCGTGGCCCAGGCCCTGCAGCGCTGCCCCCAGGCTCCACCACCCTTCATACTGCCCGAGTGAGGGGCGGACGGCTGCTCTCCAGCCACAGCAGGATGCCTGGACGGTGCCCCTCCCGCGGGACAGGGTGAGGCCAGGCCCCGGGGCAGCCCCACGTGTTTCGGCGGCATGGGGTGGGGGCAGCACAACCCTCCCCACCGCAGGGCTAGGTCCCAGGCCCCTGGGCAAGGGCAGGGGATGCTCCAGGGTGGCCGTGCCCAGCCCTGCCCCATGGGTGCTTCCGGCCCCGGGCCCCTTGCGGCCGGGAGATGTACGCTCCCTGGTCCCTGCCAGCCGAGGGGCTCGGGGCCCGGCTCCAGCACCTCCCTGGGGCAAGCCCAGCAGAGAGGAGCAGGGCCTGGCCATTATTGCTGTTGAGGAAAGCAGGGAGAGATGCCAGACCCAGGGCTCAGGGGAGGGGGAAGCAGAGAGGAGCCTGCACAGGCAGGAGAGGCTGGGCCAGGCCAGGGTCCTGGGCAGCAGAGGCCCAGCTGTAGGCGGAGAGACTGGCCAAGTACTCGTCGCTGCGGCACGCGTGGCCCCTGCCCTGCCTGGTGGGCGCTGGCATAGGGCAGGGCCGGGCAGCGTGGGAGGGGGCACTGCAGAACACACTTTGGCGAGCACAGAGAGCACGGGCGCTGGGCACGGGGCCCTCCCAGGAGCAGGACGGGGCCAGCCCCGGCAGCTGGAAGGCCAGGCCTGGCCGTGCCAAAGCAGAGTCTGTGCCCCCCCGCCCTGTGGGGGCTCATCAAAGGGCACTTTGGTCTCTGATGAAAGCAGTCCTCTCGCTGTGCGCCTCGGCCTCCTCGCCCTCCGAGTCGGATGGCGCCTCCTGCCACACGTCAGCCGGGAGCCCCTTGTAGGAGATGATACCGCTGTCCAAGGCATAGACCTTGACACCACGCAGGCTGAGGCCCGAGCGCAGCTGCAGCACCAGGAAGACGGCAATGAAGATGATGACGATGAGGGCACAGATGAGGCTGGCCACCAGGATGGGCAGGTTGGAGGGTGCTGGCGCCTCGGCCAGGCCCTCGTTCAGGGCGGGGGACGCCCGGCTGCTCTGTGTCTGGTGGGAGCAGGTCCGGTCTGGGGGGCTGTAGTGCGAGTGGGCCGGGCAGCTCAGGCACTCGGTGGCAGTGGGGCCGGTGCACGTGGCGCAGGAGGCGTGGCAGGGCAGGCGGAGGCGCGGGGCAGCTGGCAGCTCCACACTGTTCTCTGCCTCGTCGGCCAGGACCAGGGCTGGGGCGCTGGGCGCGAAGCCGGGCGGGCAGCGCTTCAGGCAGCTCTTCTGGTGCAGGTAGTAGCCTTCCTCGCACACTGTGGGCACAGGGCTTGTCAGTACACCCTGGCCACCCACCTGCTGGGGCACCACTCCCCCCGCCCCAACTGTGCCCACACTCACCCACGCAGGCCTGGCTGGAGGCGAGGGTCTTGCAGCCACTGCTCTCGATGCGGTTGGAGATGTCGGTGGACTCGGATGCCGTCCCGTACAGCACCAGCGTGAACTTGGTCAGGGTGCCTGTGGCCAGAGGCAGGCGTGAGACAGGGGGACCCTGCCCGTCCCATCCTCACTCCCTGCAGCGTCTGCCTGGCCCTGTCCCATGGCCTGCTGCCCTGTCCCCATCACACCCTGCTGGGTGTAATGGAGGCAAGCACCAGCCCCTACGCTGGGGCCTAGGAGGAGTGTGGCTCATGCACCACCCACCCCGTGGTGCCCTGGTCCTAAAGAGGCTGCTCCAGCCCCAACTGCCCTCCAAAGCGGGGGTCTCCCCACGTGTGTCGGGAGCCTGCGTCACTGCAGAAATGCTGCGGCCGGGACAACTCCGAGCCACGCAGAGGCAGGGCTCAGCCAGAGGAGCTGCCCGTGGCCTTGGTGCCAGGCTGAAGCTGGAGGGAGCCTGGGTGCCCAGCACAGAGCCTGGAACACCCGCACCCACGGGCCCCAGCCCGCGGCAGCCTGGCCCTGCCCGAGGCAGCATGGCAGGTGCACAGGGGGAGCCGGCTGAGCCCTGCCACAGAGGAAGGGGGCAGGGGGCCGCAGGGTGGCGACCTGGTATCTACCATAATTATTGGCCTCGCTGGTGTTCTCGATCTCCAGCGCCCAGTCCCCGGCAGGGTCCTCATCCCACGAGTGCGTGGTCATGAAAGCCCAGTCATTGAAGCCATCACCCGAGTAGTCATGGGGCCTGGGGCAAGAGCGCGGTGAGTCCTGAGCCCCCAAGAACCAGCCCCCGCCCGCTCTCCCCTCCCCTCCCCTCCCCCAGGTCAGCCCCCACCCAGCTCCTACCTGGAGGCCAGCAGGGTGGAGCGGGTGCCCATGGGGCTGACAAGGTAGATAGCCAGGTCCCCGCGCCGGTTGTAGGACAGCGTGAGCCGGGCCTGGACGTGCTCCAGTCGGCTGACGTAGTTGGCCCTGCCCAGGCAGGCGTCCACCTTCCGCCGCACCTCCAGCCGCTTCCCGATGTCCCTGCCAGCAAGTCAGGTATGAGGATGGCTGGTACCCATTGCAGGCCTCTGCTGTGGCCCAGCACCCAGGTGCCAAACCACAGCCCTGAGCAGCGCCCCTTCCCCAGCCCCTCTCCCTGCCCCTGCCCCCTCAAACCAAGACCCTGGGAAAGCCACAGGCCAGGCCCGCTGTGGCCAGTGCTGCAGGAGCGGACCGGGCCAGGCCAGCCCCCTGGGGGCTGTGCAGCCATGGAGGAGATGCCAGAGTCTGTAGAGCTGGGCTGGGCCCCAGGGTGGGCCATGCATGGGGAGGGGGCTGTGCTAGAGAGCGGCAAGCCCAAGGGGGCCAGGCTGGGCTGCCCTAGACTGGGGCCCCTGGGAAGGGGGCAGAGGTGGGACTGGAGTCCAGGAGTCACTTAGCTGCCTGGGAACACAGCCACGTGGCAGGGACCTTTCCCCAGCCCCACACGGACTGGATGCCCAGGTCTCCTGTGCTAGGCAGTGCAATCAGCATGCTGGTGTGTGGGTGTGCACATGTGCGGGCATGCACACACATGCGTGCACACGCTCCTGGAAGGGCTCTCCCCTCCTGAATGGCTGCACTGTGCCAGCCATGAATGGCCCTCTCTTCCCTGCATGGAGATGGCCACGGCCCCAAGCACGGCTCCAGCATGCAGCACAGCCCGCAGTCCTCGCCTGCCCAGGGCAGCCCCACCCTGAGCATGGCGCAGGGGCTGGGCCTCCTTCCCCTGCTTCCCAAGCCCCAGAGGCAGGGAGCCCTGGGAAGAGGCAGGGACAGGGGCCGGGGCTTTGCTAGGACCCATGCTGGGGCCCCCTTGGTCTCAAGCAGTAGGGCACCTGGCCACAGCTTGCTCTTGGCCACAGGACCAGAGCTCCTCGACATGCGCCAGCAGCAAAAAAAGTGCCTGGACTGGACCTTAATGCTGGTGAGGGAAGGCAACATGGATGCCAGGGCTGTACACGCGCACTCACACGTGCCGCCAGGAGCAAGACAGGGCATGGGGAGACAGGGCAGGGGAGACAGCGGCTGGTGCAGCCTCTGCCCAGGCGCCTCCCCCGACACACCCTGGGCAGGAAGGGCCTGGGGCAGCGCCCACGTCACGGCCACATGGGACACGGCACAAGTGCTGCTTTGAGACGGCAGCCGGGCCTGGTGAAAGGCACCTCTGTCTGCCGCTGAAAGCTGCTCTGTGCGGTGCTGTCTCAGCAGCTGCTCCCAGACCACAGCGCCGCAGGCCCCGGCATGCTCCTCTCAGGCAGCAGGCCCTGCACGGCTGCCGCGCAGCCGCTCTCCCAGTGGTGACCCAGCCCCTCCTCCGAGGATGCAGCCCTGGTCTGGTGGCAGGTGGGGGAAGGGGCCCAGCCCTGCGCAGCCAAAGCCTCCTTGCAAGGCTCTGCGCAACAGCCTGCCACAGAGGGAACGTGGCCCCTGGCCCCAGGGAGGGAGCCCAGGCGTGGCCACAGCTCCCAGCCTCCCTGCTTCCCCATGCGGTGCTGGACCCCGGCAGCCGCCTTACCTGGGCTCCGTGAGGATGTCAACAACACACTTCCGCTGGGGCCCCACCGAGGTCCAGTTCCTGGCCAGGCTCACCATGGCGCCCGCATCCAGCAGCCCGTAGCCATACGAGTGGCTGACTGTGGGCAGAGGGCAGGTGAGGGGCTGGTGACATGCCCCAGGGCCTGGTGTTGGGGGGTAGGGAACCTCATGCTTGGGTCCCCCCCCCAGGCAGCCGCTCGGGGCTCCACATGCCACCAACCCTGCCCAGGTCAGTGCCCCCCGACGCATGGCGTGCTGCTGCTTCCACGGGTCAGGGACAGGGGGGTCATGGGGCTGCAGCCAGGCCTGGCCATGCCCAGCTGGGCCAGTCCAGCCCAGCCCCCGGGGCGGGTGCCACAGTTACCTTTGCGGCCCACACCATTGGTGACCCAGTCATTGGCATTGAGGTGTGCCGGCTTGGACGTCCGCACAACTAGGTGCTGCATGTCCCGCCACGTCAGGTTGTTGCTGCAGAGACACAGCGGGGCTGGAGACGCAAGGCAGGGGCTGGCGGGGACCCCACGCCCAGCCCCTGCACCCAAACCTTGTCCTCACATCCCCAGCCCGCCCCATCCCAGCTCCCTCCCAGGTGTCTCCAGCCTCGTGGTGCTGCCCCTCACCCAGCCTTACTTTGCCTCCAGGGCAAGGGCGATGATGCCAGCGGCCAGTGGGGCAGAAGCCGAGGTCCCCGTGTGCGACTCGGTGCACTTCTGCCGCAGGTCGGTCGTCACCTGCAGGGGAGGGAAGCCCCAAGTGTGAGCAGCGCTGCTCTCCATCCCAACCCCACCACCCAGGCCAGGGCAGCCATAACCACGGCACAGGGCAGGAGGGCACAGGGTCCCACCAAAACACCCTGGGCTCTCACGGGCACCAGAGAGGCGAGAGAAGCCACTCCTGCCCCTCCCAAGGCCATCCCGTGCCCAGGGCACTCCCCGCCAGCCACACTCACGATCTGCTTCTCGTTCTGGCCGCCGCTGCTGTAGGTGGTGGCAAGGGTGGAGGAGCAGGCCTCGCTGTACCAGGGCACGTTGCCGTACTGTGTGGTGCTGCTGATGGACAGTGTGTAGATGCTGTTGGTGTAGCCGTCGCAGTTGCAGCTGTCGTGCTCCCGGCCCCCGTTCCCCGAGGCCCAGACGAAGATGGACCCCAGCCCCCCGCGACCCTACAGGCAGAAACAGAGCCAGGCGCTGTCACTCGAGCCCCCCACGCACAGCCAGGGCTGTGTGGGGCTGACGTTGCCCAGGCGAGTGGAGCTGGCCCCATGCCAGGAGCTTGCCTCTCGAATACGCGACAGGGGACAGCAGGTTTGGGGCAGGGAAGGGATGGCAGGCACGGCTCTGCTCACCTGGCTGACCCCGCGGAAAAAGGCCTCCTCCGCCAGCCGGGCCGGGCCGTCCACCGTCTTGCCGTCATCCTCGGGGCCCCAGCTGGCGCTGTAGATGTGGATGTGGTTGGGGTTCAGGCCCAGGGAGCGGGCCTCCACGGCGTCCGTCACCTCCCCATCTAGCATCCGCACACCTGGGCCAGAGGAAACACGTCACTGCCCAGGGTTGAGTATGCGACCCAGCTTGTCCAGGGCCTGACTCCCCACCTGAGACCCGAGCCTGCCCCCGTGACCAGGGCCCATCTCCCTGGAGTGCAGACAAGCCCCTACCTGGGCCAGGCTGAGGCTGCCCCCACCCCACCTGGGCACACACCCACCTCCAATTTTGGCGTTGTATGCCACGCCCACGCCACAGATGCCGTTGTTGGCCACAGCAGCCACTTCGCCAGCACAGCGTGTCCCGTGCCTGCCCCAGAAGAAGCCATGCTCAGAGCCCCGCCTGGGAGTGGGGCTTAAGCACAGACACGGCCCCCAGCCCAGCCCACTGAGTCCTGGCCACACAGCATCTCTCCAGGGCTGGGGCTCAGCGCTTGTGTACCCGGGACCAGAGATGGGCATAAGTGGCGCAGCCATGGCCAGGCATAAGCCAGGTTCTTGGTGTTGGGAAGCTGGGCATAGGCGTGGGCAGGTTCCTCTGCAGCCACACTGCTGCCACAGAGCAGAGGCGGCTGTCTATGGGCTGGTGTCTCCCGTGCACCCGGCCCTCACCCAGGCACAGGTCTGCTCAGGGCCTGGCTGCCACCCGGCCATCACCCATCCTAGGCAGCCCTCTGCAGGGAGCCTGGACCCCCGCCTGCAGCTGGACCCACCTTGCCCTCTCTAGCCCCACCACCCTCCCCACCTCTTGGGCTGCACCGGCCCCTCACCCACCGGTTGTCGTTCATCTGTGTGTAGCGCGGCTGTGGGTCGGAGTCTTGGTCATTCACGTCGAAGCTGGCATCGGAGTCCTGCGAGACAGAGCTGCCGTCAGCCTTGTCCACAGCGTGGAACGGGGCTCCCCACTGCCCGCTCCCAGCCTGGCCTGCTCGTGGCCGCACACAAGGCCCAGCTCCACAGCCCAGTGCAGGAGGCAGCGGGGCGCTCACCTCCTCTCCCGCCACGGCTGCAGTGCCCCCAACTCACATAGTTGCCCTCCAGGTCTGGGTGGTTCTTCTCGATGCCATCATCCAGGATGGAGACCACAATGCCCTTGCCCGTGTAGCCCTGCTCCCAGGCTCCCCGCACATTCAGGTCCCGCTGGTTCGTGTTGTACTGGGGAAACGCCGCAGGTCAGAACCTGACAGGGACCCCAGACAGACGCTACCCAGAAGCGCCTGGTATCAGGGCTCAGGCTGCCCCACAGCACATGGCCATGGGGCTGCTGGTGCCGGGGGAAACAGCCGGGTCTGGCCTGGCTCTGCTCGGGCCGTCTCTGCCAGTGCTGACTGCAGGCAACGCACCGCATGCGACGGGCCAGGCTCTGCCATGGGCAGGATTTGCTCCCAGTGGGGCCACAGGAGTCCGTCCTGCAGGCAGCTCTCGTGCCTCCCACCCCAGCCCCAGAGGAGGCACAGAGAAGGACCTGACCAGCTAGAGGCCCCAGATCAGCAGGCAGGGACACGTCTGTCTGCCTCAACTTGGGGCAGCCAGAAGCAGACAGACAGACAGACACCCCAGGATGGAGAGCCAGGGGGGCCCTAGCAGGCCTCTGCCCAAGGTGGGGTCTGTTCCAAGTCTCATCCATGAGACCAGTCCCCATCCCAGCAGATGCCCCGCTGCCAGGGGAGGCCCCTGCTCGGGCGGCACCTACCAGGTACCACTGCTGCGGGAACTTGGGGTCTGTGGGCTCCGTGAAGGTGTCTCTCTTCGTGCGGCGCTTGGCCACCTGCTGCTCCAGCCAGTGCACATGGAGACACAGCGCTAGCGTGAGGAATCGGTGGAGGTGACATAGCCCCCTTCCCCCAGCACGGGCTGGGTCCTGCCCTCCCTACATCTACAGCAGCCAGCCTGACCCCAGCCCCATGGTACAGGGAAGGGGAAGCAGGGCCATGCCAGGCTCAGCCAGGGGCTGGTGGTGGACACTGGGATGGGCAGCAGGTGGGAGCGGAGGGTTGTGTGGAGCATGGAGCTCAGGGCAGGGGCTGCAGCAGCTCAGAGCTCAGGAATCCTGGCACTACAGACCAGCCTGTGGCACTGCGGCGCTGGGCAGGGGGGGCATCATGCTCCCCTGATCCCCCTGCCAGGCCCAGGGGAGCAGCAAGGACTAAGAGCCCCAGGCGGTTGCCCCACGGCCCTGCGCCAGGCAGGCTCCAAGCCGGCAGCCACGCTCCAGTGGAG